CCTATCTCTCTCTGAACCTCGGCAGTAAGTGGTTCAACCCTGCCTGGCTAGATATAACAGGAAACTGTTTCCAGAAATGTGTTAGGTTTCTCACCGTGTTTACTTTTAATGCTAAAACTGGTAATATTGCTGTGGGTTATTATAGTGGGTGTTGACTACATAATTAGACCCCCAAGATTATAACTTGAATTTGCTAAGATACAGGGAAGGGAAATCGAGATGATCAAAAAGGAAAACGTTTGGATATAAACTCTAAGATCTGAACATCTGTAACGGACGTGCATGGAGAGATAATAGCAAAACAAAGTGTAACGATGGGAGCTTATTGTACTGTTTTGTAGTCGAAAATATCTGTACTAATATAGCATACCTGCACTTTTCCTTTTTAATGATTAAGAGTGAGTGAGTATCGTTTTACGCCGCATTTAGCAATATTCCAGCAATATCACGGCGGGGGACACCAGAAATGGGCTTCACACATTGTACCCATGTGGGGAATCGAACCCGGGTCTTCAGCGTTACGAGTCAACGCTTAAACCACAAGGCTACCCCACCGCCCCTTAATGATAAGGACGTTTTACAGTATTGACATTTTTTATGTTATGTGTCCTGTTCTCTTTACGCTGAACATATCCATTGTTTGAACCTGCCATGGAAGATGCCGCTACTGGTCGAACAGGTGTAGACGATATGCCAGAACATGACCACTCATAGGACTCTGAAATTCTGCGATTCTACATGAGAAAAAATACAGTAGACCCAGTGAGCCAAAGGGTCGTCAGGCAGATACAGATGGTTTGATTAACAGCTGATGACTTCACGCTTGTGTCGAGACAACGAGTTGCAAAACTTAATAATACAAAATATGTAATTGATAAACTAGTTTGTTTGAGTATTTATCCTAAAGGCTTGGGCTGTTTAGGAGAACTCTTCACAACTGAAGAATTTACACCGTGTTGCATCGACTTCTTCAAGTCATTTGGCGAGAAGGATTGTTTTGTTAACATATGAATGTAATGTAATCTTTGAAGGGCATTTAGAAGTGGAATGCATAAGAACAGCAAGATATATGGATGTCAACTTCTTTATTGTGAATAACACAACGTTTTGGAGAAGGAGCAAGCATACGCTCAGAAACGTCGTGTTATTCACAATATAGAAGTTGACATACATATATCTTGCTGTTCTTATATGAATGTGTTTGTGTGCTTGTGTGTTTTGATGTTTTGATGTTTGTGTGCTTGTGTTTTTGGATGTTTGGATGTTTGTGTGTTTGGATGTTTGGATGTTTGTTTGGATGTTTGTGTGTTTGGATGTTTGTTTGGATGTTTGTGTGTTTGTGTTTTTGGATGTTTGGATGTTTGTGTGTTTGTGTTTGGATGTTTGTGTGTTTGGATGTTTGTGTGTTTGGATGTTTGTGTGTTTGGATGTTTGTGTGTTTGGATGTTTGTGTGTTTGGATGTGTGAATGTTTGTGTGTTTGGATGTTTTTGTGTTTGGATGTTTGTGTGTTTGGATGTTTGTGTGTTTGGATGTGTGAATGTTTGTGTGTTTGGATGTTTGTGTGTTTGGATGTTTGTGTGTTTGGATGTTTGTGTGTTTGGATGTTTTTGTGTTTGTGTGTTTGGATGTTTGTGTGTTTGGATGTTTGTGTGTTTGGATGTGTGAATGTTTGTGTGTTTGGATGTTTGTGTGTTTGTGTGTTTGCATGTTTGGATGTTACTGATTTCAGCATGATGTGGATTGGTTTAATGTGAACAGCACATAGCAATCGCTTAGCTCTCAGGTCGTCATAAAACCAGTTTCAGTTAGGCTTAAATTGCCCTTCCATATTACCACGGCTCGCCGACTTCCATGGAGAATGGTGCACACTAAGTTGCCTGACATTTGTATCTTCATCAAAACTAGGTTGTCTGTTTCTGGGCGTTATCTACAGCAGGGCGACACTCGCGACTCGCGAACGGGTTGGTCGCCCACAGGTGACGTCATGTTAACAAGACAACCATTCTCGGTTGGTGCATCTACAGCGCATCAGACAACTTCTGATTGAGACGAATTAGTGGCAGAATCATGGCTCCAAACCTGCGCCCGGATCCAAAGAGCCAATTTTTGCTGACTCAGGTTTTACTGCTTCAGCAATATCTCTTGCTCTTTTAAGTGTCTGGTGTATTTCACGGAAACGTTTCACACAAACGTAAGGAGTCTGATTAAACTCTGTTTCGGACCTGCCTCAAATCGGAAGAGTCCGTTTCAGTTCCAGTTAAAATACACCTGCTCTGCTTGGTCATTGCAAATCTGTCCATTACCTTTCAGTAATGGAGACTTTCCCTGAGAAAAGTCACCATTACTAACATTGAATATTACTCATTACTAAAATAGAACAAACATAACTTCACACTTTATCGTTTATTTTGATTTTTTCCCAGAAATTACAGTTAGATGACATTCACACTAACAGTAACAGAAATGTTGTTTTTACTGTCGTCAGACTTATCTATGTTAGTACTAGAACAGGCGGTAGAACTGGCTGACACAGGAACTGAAGCTTGACCTTGCAGAAGAGAACTCAACTTCCTTCTTTGAGCCGAGTTGGTACGCTTATAGCTCCTCACTGCGCTTGACCGGTGCCCAGTTACCTCGCATATCAATTGCTCGTCAACACCAGCATCATACAAACGAGTGGCGGCTGTGGCTCGTAGTGAGTGGTTGGTCCTGTGTCCGGTCAGTCCAGCTCTTTGGCAAATGTCAGACTCCGTAGCAGCTAGACTGTGGCGGCCAACTGCTTGACTGCTGTACCATACGTCGCCCACTGGATTTCGTAATGGTCGCAAGTAGAAGGGGTCACTGTCTGTTTTGGGGGGTGGTCTATGGGTTAAATATTTGTCAAAGCGTTCAACCAAACACCTTTCTGGCTTGTCAACGTTCTCATAGGCCCTCACAGATTTTGCTTTACACTTCCGATGCTTAAGGCCCCCCTGATTGGACTTAGATAAGACGTCCTCAGTATAGATCAGAACACGTCCGTGTTGATCAGACGATAACGAAAACTGAGAAGTCCTTCCGACGCGCAAATGTCGGTGTTCCTGGCCACCCTTGAGGGCGAAATTAATCCCAACCAAGTAGAAAATAGTGTCCAATAATTGCTTAGGGTTATCACTCCCAAGAACACCTTTTGCCCATAGAACTTCCTCTTCCTCTGGCGTGATCACTTCGGCTTGAACCGCTGGCTTACTGGATGGATCCTTAGCGCGTTGTTTCATCATGTTATCCGGGGTGCTCTTTATTTGCAAAAAGGCGTCATCAGTTAGGAACTTGTAGGCTTTGTCAATGCTGTCCATGTGTAATTGGAGATAGATCACAAGTCCATATAACGTGTCAGACGGGAAATCAGTGCCGTCCGTCTTCTTCGCCTCACAGACAAATCTGGAAATAGTATAGTTCAGTTCGTCAACGCTCATTTCCTCCAGCGGTACCATAATGAAGCTTAGGTTCCTGGAAGTGTCCGCTGCTAGGTTGTTTCTGTTACTTTGCCATTCTCTGAATAAAGTTGTAGCCCATTTCATTTTTGATACTGTGCTGTCGGCAAACCTGAAAGGTCAAATGATAAGATATAGAGTATATGGTATCATAAACTACTATATGCTAAACTTCAACTTTAAATACTCCAAAGTGTTCGAAACTGACGACAGACAATAAACTGAGAACGGTCATAAATGTTAAACACAATCGCTAACAGAATTAACATTATCATTTTAAAGTAAACATCCGAAAGGAACATGTACTTACTTTTTGGTTTGTAGATCATTCAGTATGTTGTCAGGAACGGGCTCGTGAAAACGACTGCCACTGTGGGTAACCGACGTCTCCGACCCGTTCCCTCCCTTCTTGTCAGTTTCATACGTAGTTTCATCAGTGATTGCTTCTCAGCGACTATACAAGATGCCAGTAACTCGTCATCCGACTGAGTGATTTTGTCACCAAAACCCTCCAAACCATAACTTTATCAGCAGTTTCATCTGAAGATATATCCGAATATTGCGTTGTGTATGTTGACTGGGTCAAAAACATTCCGTCATCATCTGAGCTATCGATGTCCATCCTTACGACTGTCTTCTGACACGTGGTTCAAGAAATGGAGACATACGGGTTTTCGCGCACAAAATCACGTGCATCTTATACCATTATTAAAGTAATGGAGACATACAGGTTTATACAAACCAAGCGTGCAAGGTATGACATTTGCTGACGTAATGGAGACATACGGGTTAACACGGGTACAAAGCACGTGCGAGTTATTTCATTTGGTGAAGTATTGGAGAAATACGGGTTTACACGCATACAACGCACGTGGAAAGTGGCAGTTCGTATAGGAGAAAGTCCGAGTATCTGTCCATTTCTGAAAGCTAATGGAGACGAGGCTCCATTAGCTTTCAGGAATGGACAGATACTCGGACTTTCTCCGACTTAAAAATACACCCAAACCTAACGGGGAATACAATGCAGATCAATGAACACCAAATATTTTTTCAGTTAAACCTTAATAAACCATTTTAGAAATAAATATCCGCTTGTATTCGGTAAAAGTATTAAATCAATTCTCTCCTTAGTGGGGACCCTCTATACGTCAATGAACGTAGATCACAGACGTACCGGTACTGCCGGTGCATTCTCTGCTGAAAGACCTCTTTTGCAGACTTTGGTCAGTGTCTACCGTAATACAACTGTACGCTATTTGTACCATGAAAGAAGAAATGGAGAACTATCAGAGAATATTTCCACCTTTCTCACAGTTAGGTTACCATCACCCTGCGTTGGTGGTCGACCCGATCGGGTGGTCCGGCTATGTGGGTTGTTGTCCCGTTACGACGAGCATGGGTTGCTGTAGACCTATTTTAGACAATTCTCTACAGAAAGCCGTAATATATCGTGAGAGAACCAATTGACCACGCACTCATGCCATGATTCTGAGAAGTTTGTTCATTGACGTGTGCTGTATTTCAGGCTCCATCGTTTGTGAAAAGGTTAATCTCGCAGACCTGAAAGGAAAAACAAACAACCTTTGTTACAATGAAGAAAGTAAACAGATCAAGTGTCCTAGAAATCAGAGACTTTTGATACAGGCGCTGTTGCAAAGAGTACACTCACCTGAGGAAGAGGACCCCAGTTCCTGTAGCAAATCCTTCAGTGATAACTTTTATGACATTGGAAGATGCCTATTAAACACTTCGGATGTGCAGGAGAAGACGGCCTATGAGGCAGCGATAAGGGAGGTTCTGGAGGAGTGTAGTCAGAAGAGGTACTGCATCCTGGAGAGTGACAAGACGTCCTCTATCCATGGTCTCAAGGACCTTCCAGTCGGAGAGGAGAACAGACACCCGTCACACCTGGTGGTAATGAATCAGTGTGTTAAAGGTAAGGATCTCGCCATACAGGCCCATTACTTATTATTCTGCTAATAGTGGGGTTTGCCGAACTTAAATATTTACCATCTTGAGTTGATGACTGTAATATTTGAAACTATGTCATTTCCTTTGATAATGTTGACCTTGACCTGTGGTTTTTCAATAATTACCGAACATACCGAACAAAGTCAGCCTTGACTTGTATGTACATTCTCTAATTTTAAGCCAGCACCGGCGTAGCTACCGTTATTGAAAAATGCCCGGGCTTACACATGATTGTTGCTAAAAAGGTTGAGCAAGCCGTCAGTACTATTTACTAGTGTTGTGGACTATGTGCTGGCATCGCATGATTCATCAATTGTAATTAAAGATTTTCAGGTGATTAATTACTCAGTTTGCTACAGTGACATTCGTGAACTTTTGTGCATCACGTTTGGAAATGCCATTGTAAAAAATGTTGATGATTATATAGAAAATGTCGAAAATGTACTCTCAGATTATCCAAAGCGATTTGATCCAGTTAGGTCATGTGACTTTGTTAATTGCACTGATACCTCAAGCCTGCATAACATGCTCACGAGAGCACGTGAAGCCCGTGCAGGTCGCTGTGACCCGTCGTGCACCGTTACAGATGTCACTGACAAGCTGGGTCAGGTCTTTTTACAAGCTGCTACGCAGGTATTTGGCCGAAGAAATGTTAGTAAAGGCCGTAATTTATGTAGAAAATCTAGTTCATGCCAATGGTATAATAAAGATTGTCTTGTGATGAAAAGGAAATATAGAAGACTAAGAAGGAAATATAGAAGACTAGATCAGGAGTTGATAAAGAAAATGTTAAGAAATGTAATCGTGTATATAAGAACACTGTTAAGTGGCAATATAGAAAGTTTGTTGTTGAAACTAAAAGTAATTTTTCACGCATCGCAAAAAATTACCCTTCAGCATTTTGGAAGTTCTTTAAAGACAGAAAAGTAGCAAATGCCAACGTTCCTCTGGATGATTTTTATAATTTCTTCAAGAATGTAAATGCCGCAGATGAATCTAATGATAATGTAAATGACGTTTTTGACATAGATATGGTCCCTGAGAATGATGTGCTTGATAAGGATATTACTGTTGAAGACATTTTGAAGTGTATTAATCATTTAAAGACACGGAAGAATGTCGGAATAGAGAGAATAGAAAATGAGAATATTTTTCATACTAAGCATGAATTTATTGAGCTATATTATGAGTTGTTTAACTTGGTTTAGGAATGTGGTACCGTACCCCAGTCATGGCTGATAGGAATAATTAAGCCTATTTACAAACAGAAAGGTAATGTAAATAATCCTGAAAATTATAGGCCAATAACTATTTTGTCATGCCTTGGAAGGCTTTAACTTCTGTTTTAAATTATCGCCTTAGTACTTTTCTTGATGATAATGATATGTTAAGTGAGGCACAGGCGGGCTTCCGAAAGGGATACTCTACTTTAGATAATATCTTTGTTTTAAATGGACTAATTGATATACTTAAATCTAAGAAGAAAAAGTTATATAGTGCTTTTATAGACTTTCAAAAGGCTTTTGATAATGTCTGGCGTGTGGGACTTTGGCAATCAATGATTAAACTCGGAATTACTGGGAAAGTTTTAAAGGTTATTTATAATATTATGATAATATCAAGTCTTGTGTGTCAACAGGTGGAAACGATTCTACCTATTTTGACTGTTGTAAAGGCGTACGCCAGGGAGAAAATCTATCACCTCTCCTTTTTTCACTGTTTATTAATGACGTTGTGTCATACCTAGCGACTAATGCCTGTGATGGTGTAGAAACTGATGATATATTTAGATTTGTTGAGATTTTTGTACTGATGTATGCTGATGAAATGGTTTTATTTGCTGAAAGTCCGGATGAGTTACAGCGTAGTATCAATATGTTTAGAGAATATTGTGTAAAGTGGAAGCTAAAATTAAATATCGAAAAGACTAAAGTAGTCATATTTGGCTCTGGAACTGCAAGAGTGAATTTTCCCAAAAATTATTTTGGTGACGTACCTTTGAACATGTCTGACACTTATACTTACCTTGGAATAAATCTTCATAAGACTCGGAAATATAATGCTGCCATTACATCTTTAAGAGAACAAGGCCTGAAAGCAATGTTTTGGTTGTTAGCTAAAGCAAGAAATTTACGCTTACCGCCAGACTGCCTGTGATAAAGCACTCGACCATATGGTTGTACCAATATTATTATATAGTTGTGAGATATGGGGCTCTAGTAAGTTTGAAAAGTTAGAATTAGTTCATAGATTGTTTATTAAGAAGGTGCTCCATTTACGTAGAAGTACCCCGGCTTATATGTTATACGGCGATACTGGACGCCCCCCTTTAAGTATTAATGTTAAAAAAAAGAGTATTATCCTATAGTTGTAAAACTTTAGAAAATGAAAACCAAAATAAACTTACACTTAAAGTGTACACTAAATTATTACAGTTGACAAGTATACTGAATACCAGCCAGCTTGACATTATGTTAAATCTATTTTAGACGATTGTGGATTTTCATATATCTGGTATAATCAGAATTGTATTAATAGGAACTGGCTCCTTTGTAAAGTTGAACAAATTCTAACAGATCAGTTTATAACACAATGGCAATATGAAAAATCCTTATCGTCTAAGGGTAAAACATATGACAGTATAAAACCGTGGTTTGGTGCTGAAGACTATATTTTATTACCAGACAGAATTTCACAACCGCTTATTGATGTTTAGAACTGGTAATACTAGGCTACCTGTCGAAGTAGGACGCTGGCATCATGTGCCTGTTAATGACCGACAGTGTCTGATGTGTAACTCCAGTGAAGTGGGTGATGAGTACCACTATATTTTTTCGTGTAATTCTTTGTTAACAGATAGAAATAAGTCATTACCAAAGTATTGTTGTACAAGACCCAATTACTTTAAACTGCATAATCTTTTTATGGAAAGAAATTACACAACTGTTGATAACTTCAGCAAATACATTACATGTATTTTTCTAACCCTTTCAAAAACTTCAATGATATTACTTTATGTATCACTGCATATCTGTGCTATGTACATTACATATACTTATGTCAACCTATCAAAAGTTCAATGATGTGCCTTGTATCAATATCAATATTGCATTATGAATCACTGCATATCTGTGCTATGTACATTACATGTACTTATGTAAACCTATCAAAAGTTCAATGATATTGCCTCGTATCAATATCAATATAACATTATGAAGCACTGCATATCTGTGCTATGTACCACTGTGAGTGGTTTTAGTGAAAAAATGAACTTGAACTTAAACTATTTAAACATAAAGCTTTGCAACCTATCGGGCTTACACAAAAAATATTTGGCTTGCTACGCGCCTGGTCAGTGACAGACATGATTTGAACCTCAGGTAGTGAGTAGTAGACAGGATGACAGTCCTGGACCAGGGTAATCTAAGGCTTCATTTAATAGATAAAGCCTTAGTTGGACCCTTACCATTACCATCTACTACAGAGCTTTATTTCATAAAATAAGACTTTTTCAAGCAAAATGTCCCAATTCCCAAAGAAATGTATTGCGCTCCAAAGGGGAATTGTGTCTCTCACATCACACGAAGTTGTGACGGTGGGATACGAACCCCACATGCACAGCTTGCGTAGACTATACATAATGGGTCGACTGAGCTACCGCGGACTTAGCTGAAGTAGGTCAGTTTAACGGGTAGATCATGCGCACCCACGCATCACGTGACACGTTGTCTGGAATCAATAATTCCTGTCTGGCCCATCCATCATAGTGCATTTTTCATTTTATCTATGTTAACATGTCGCTATGTCACGTTGGCCTCAACGAAACAGTTTAATGTAAATCGTCTGTTATATTTTTGGTGTTCGTTATAAAGGCTTGCCGGGCTTTTTGTACTCCCTGTTCTATATACTTTTTTTTCTCGGATTCACTGATAGTAGTACTTTTACGGGACTTGGACTGAATATCTTGTTTCATTTTGTTATATTTTGTGATTTCTGATAGCACCAAACGAAACTCTTCCTCAGAGATTTTAGAGTCTGTGAGCGCGGTGGAAATATGATCATCTATTGTGTTTAACTTCGCTTCAGCCAGAATTCTAATTTCATCGTGTTTCAATGCCTTACGATGCAGTCTGCGGGATACAAATTTAAGTACCAATCCTAACACTCCTGACACCCCAGCCGTTATTTCGAGTCCCATCACTATAGGTACAGCCACGATGGTGGTTAATAACCCAACACCTGCCACCCCTAGTCCCATGCTGGTTGTCATAAGGGCAGTGTCAGCCCCGTCCACGGCATTGAAAACTCTATGGTATTTCTTATATAATGCTTTACGCTTGTCGCGGTCTTGTTCTAGTTGACGTCTTACATCACATAATTGTCTCAAGCGGAACCCGTCTACGGTTTCCAGAGTCTTCGCTACTTCATCTATGCCTGGATACAATCCCATCCTATAATATATATTACAAAAGATATTTTAATTGGGTTTCAGTTAACAGTCGATTAACGTACTTGAGGCTTATAAGGTGTAAATCCTCATGTAGGAGAATAGTGGAGAAGTTAATAGGTAACTTTGCATCCACACTATCCCCCTCGGAGGGTATTATTGAGGGGGTTATAGAACCCGTTGAGGGGTCCGGTTGTATGACGATGGTGCGGTGACGTTCACTACTGTTCTGGGGATTCCAGTGTATTATCACCCCGGGTACAAGTTGTTGGTCTAGATTATTATTATTAACTCTAGTGATATACACTTCTATGATGAGTGTGGAGCCTGGTGACACAACTGGAATATCCGATCGGGTTCTGTAGCATTTATACTGTAACTCACCCCCGATGAATGATAGTAACATATTAGGTAAAACCGGTCTTAGTACAATCGTTGTATTAGGTCCCGGAACGAAACACCCGAGCGCGGTACCGCTATTCTTAATTTCAGAGATATACCCATCTTCTTTTGATGTG